TATAGGAGCACCTAGGTGGCTCAGTCAGTTAAGCATCTGACTTCGGCTCAGGTCATGATCTCAGGGTCCTGGGATGGAGTCCCATGTCAGACTCCCCACTCACTACAGAGTCTGCTTGCTCCTCTTGCTCTGCCCCTCTCCCCACTTGTGCTCGTTCTCTCTGACTCTCTCTCTCAAATAAATAAAAAAATAATTAAAAAAAAGATGTACAATATAGGACCTAAGGGTTTTTTAACCTACAACTAAATATTCTGACCGTTGAAATTAAGAATTTTTATATGAAACTAAAATGTGAATGAGAATGTGTGTCAAAGTGAGAATCCCTGAGTTGATGTTACCCACAATAATTTTTCATTAGACATCAACCTTAATACCAAAGAAAAGATCCTTTGTCAGAATTACATTCAGAATTTTCTAGTAAAGAACTGAGTAAAGACTGTGAACTCATAATCGTGATTAGTATTTTAAGACTAATGCTGTAGGTGTCTGTTGCTTTCTATGTGATTTTAAAACTTATTGGACAGAGGCAGCATCATTTTTAATGTCTTTTAAATTGATAAGCCTTTTAAAAAGCTTTAAAAAAAACACTAATTTCATCAGGATCTGGGTATTTTGTATTTTTTCTTAAATATTCATTTGTTTCAACTACATGTAGTTTAGTCCATATCTTCTAGTCAATCTACATATATTTAATGAAGTTTTAAAAACTCACTGTCTGCTTTTCTACTTGTTCACTAAACATTCTTAATGAAAACATTTGGATCTGAAGGACGAGAGTACTTTGAGCAGCTTTCCTGCATGGTATTATAAAAGTAGCATTTGGAGGGTGAATAAAACACATGCATTATATGCATTATATGTATGAAGATTTACAAAACAGCTAGAGAAAATTCCTTCTAAAGATACGTGGTTCTAGCTCTCTTCAGCTAGAACGTATAAGCTCCTCTAAATACTGACCTGTGTACATTACATGCTGCGTATGGGGCAAAAAGACATCTCAGGACAGCTTTTCGCCCTAGAATCTGCAAAAAAACAAAAAAGTACCGTTTTTATTCCCTTGGTGTGGCAGAAAAGCATTGCCTTACAAGTTTGAAGAAGTGGATTCTTCTTATACTCCTCCATGGTCTTTGTGGCTTTAGAACTCAATATGCACAAATTGCCAGATTTCATCTTTCTCTGGAACCTGCATTCCCTTACACTATCCATTTTGGACTAAGAACAAAATTTCCTATTTCCTATCTGAGCAGTGTCTTAACTGTGAGCTGATCTGAAATAAGGTCATTGATCTCAAGTTGTATCTCTCATTAAGCCGTCCTAGTGTGAGTTACTCTTCTTTACTTTCCCTAGTTTTTCTCTATGACATGACTATACTATCTCATTTTATACTTAAAATATTCTAAATATGAGAATTATATGCTGTGTTTACCACAGAGCAGAAAAAGGGCAACAAAAACTATTTGCCAATGAGGAAATAGAATAACTATAAAAAAAAGACACAAAAACTCCATATAGCAGTCAGTTATCTTCGTCTCAAGTATATCATGTCTTAAAATATTATAGTAACCAATGTTAATAAAGCTTTTAAGTCAGTGGTTCTTAACCAAAAGGGTACATTATAATAAACTTAAAATCAGTACATACGTATTTATATTTAATGACATTCAGGAAGACAAGGAGATTCTGATTGTGTTTGAGGTAGAACTCTCACGACCTATCTTTGCAGGTTCCCTTAGTAATTCTCATAAATATCCTCGATTAAAAAATCATTGTTCTGATAAAGCAAGAAAAGGTAGTTAGTACCTATCTGGTGGGCAATTTGTCAATATGTATCAAAGTTTTAAATGTTTTTATTATCTGATCAGTAATTTTAGGTGTTTATTCTAAAGAAATTGGAAAATAACAGATTGCAAAACAGTTAGTATGTGACCTATATGGTTAAATCAGCATTTTTTTTTTTTTTAAGTCTGAAAGGGGGGCGCCTGGGTGGCTCAGTCGTTAAGCGTCTGCCTTCAGCTCAGGTCATGATCCCAGGGTCCTGGGATCGAGCCCCTCATTGGGCTCCCTGCTCAGCGGGAAGCCCACTTCTCCCTCTCACACTCCCCCTGCTTGTGTTCCCTCTCTCGCTGTGTCTCTCTCTGTCAAATAAATAAATAAAATCTTTAAAAAAATAAAAAGTCTGAAAGGCTGTATAGTATAACAACTTAACACCAGTAATTATAGCTGGAATATAAAACAACAATTTTATTTTTTTTTAATAATGTCAGTATTGCAGTGTCCTTATGGGTGGCTTTGGTACCAGGAGACATTAATGCAGAAGTTCCTTTGCCTTTAAAAGTTTAAATATTCTTGGTGTTGTACAGACAATAGAGAGATGGTTATCTTTTGTGCTGACTAAAGTTGCTTATTGATTACAGTCAGTGGTGATATCTGAAGCCCTTGATTTTTCTCATTGCCCTGACAACCAGTCTGAGCTCTTTTAAATAATTACTAAACTTTTAAATAGGAATCTCATTATCCACCCAGTGAAGTCTAAGATAGTCCTCCTAAGATTGTAGACAATTACTGCTTTAACTACTTTGTTGGTTTTATAATTCTTTTTTCTTTTAAGATATTTAAATGTTTTCCTGTTTTGCTCTAAAGATACTTTAAGCCTATTGAATTCTTTATACTCTTAGGAATTCTTTATATACTTAGGTAATTCTGTGGTAACCTCTTTGAATTTGATGGAATCTGACATTCCATATTCTTTTTTTCCTCCCAGGTTTACCAAAGTGTATTTGACAAGTAAAATTGTATGTATTTAAAGTGTACAATATGATGATTTGATGTATACATTGTGAGATATTTAGCACAATTAATTAACACATCCATAACTTCACTTACTATGTGTGTATAGTATGAGAGAGTAGTTCTTGACTATAGTCATCATGTAGCTCCTCAGAACTTATTCACCTTAAAAGCTACAGTTTGTACTCTGACGAACATCTCCCAGTTTCCCCTATCTATATTCTTTCTTTCTAGTGTTCTAGATATTAGCTTAGCTTATGGTTAAATTCTAGCTATTTCTCAAGTTTTATTTAGCTCTGGGGCACACGATTGACAAGTTTTGACTTTCCAGTTTTTTCCCCTAGTTATTTGCTGCATTTTAAATTACTGAAGAGTGTATCTGTATATTTTATAGGGACTAAATCTGTTTTGATTTGGGGGGAAAGGATAAGGAACCTCAAGAATCAACTGTGAAGAACTGTTCAAATCTATGAAAGAATTTAACTGCTGTATAGTAGTAATTATAAGATACATGTATAAGAATCAGTAGCTTTTCTGCAGGCTGTATATGAAGAAAACTAATAAAAAGACTTAAGCTGAGAGGGTTTTTTCCATGTGACTGTGTATAAGACAGTAGTGTCCACTGTAAGTTTTTCCCAGACTCATACAGGCTTAATTTCAGTCAGAATCTCAATAGACTTCTCTTTTTAGAGGAATGAGAGAGAGTGGGTAGTACCTTGAAAAAATTATTCTGTAACTCATTTTGAATGGTCAAGACATTTTTGAAAATGTAATTAGCAAGTACTTGACATATCAATATGAGGAAAGACTGAAATGCTACTATAATAAAACATTGTGGCTCTGATAGACCAATGGACTAGAAACAGACCCTATTATATGTAAGATTTTGGTGGTATCATGAATCAGTGGAACAGTAAAGATTATTCAATAAGTGGTGTTAGAATAATTGTTAACCACTTGGAAGAAAAGAAATGAAGTTAAAATTTCCCCTCAAATCTATACCAAAGTAAATTCTAGATGGATTAAAGTTAATTATGAAGTAGAAGCCGTAAGAAGCCAAAAGAAATGTAGGCAAATATTTAATGACCTAGCAGAAGGAGTTTATAAGCACAGAAACAGTGAAAGAAATCACACAGGAAAAGGTGGATCATTCTTAACATATAAGAGTTGAAAACTTCTATAATAAAAGCTACCATAGACACAGTTAACAGACGAATGAAAAAATTGTTTCTGACAAATGTAACAAAAACACACACATGCACACATCTACCTGTCGCGGGGCGGGGAAGAAACAACTGGTGGCTCTTAACCATTTTGGGATAACACTCTCCCAGAAAAATGGGTGCACTGCATATGCACACTAACAGGCATGTACACACATACACATGCCCACAATTTTCAGTATAATTTTAGGAGACTAACATGTTCACAAGAGTTTTATGGACCACAAAGAAGTGCCTGGTAAATATGACTAAATCTCACCTTCCCCATTAAATAAATTCGTTTTATAGAACTGTAAAGTTGAATATTAGTGAAAATATTGCTAATGGGATGTAAATTAAATTAGCAAAACTTCTCTGGAAAGCTTTTTGGTTTTTAAAATGTCAGAATTTTATTTAAAAATTCTATTTCTAGGAGTTATTTTAAGAAAACAGACTCTCAGACAAATTTTATTCAGCTATGATCATTATGTATTGAAATGCTTATTATTTATAGAAGCAAAAAATTGGGAGGGAAGTAACCTGAATGCTCAACTCTAATGTAATGGTAATTTAAATTATGGTTTAGCCATGCAACCGAGTATCATGGAGCCATTATATATAATGTTCTTAAAAGAGTACTTGGCGATGTGGGAAAATAATTAAAATGTACTGTTAAATGAAAAAAGCAAATACTCAGAGATATTTAAAAAAAAAGTTTCTAGGTGATGGGACTATTGTTGATTTTAAATTTATTTCTGTATTCCTCTTCATTTTTATAGTGAGTATGTATTTTATATTTCAAATGCTTGGAAAAAATGTTATTCTGTTTTGTATAATTTTTAGAGTTTTACTTAAAAATAGGTAAAATTATAGTGATTTAACTCTCAAAAATATATGCAAGGTTTTTTTTGGGAAAACTTAAATCGACTGGTTCAAGAAAGTTTATCTTAAAACACATGTTGAATTAAGACAAACAATTAATTTTTGGATACCTTTTCCTTCTCCTACTAGAAGTGGAAGACTTGTTTTCTTCACTTAAACATATCCAACATACTTTGGTAGATTCTCAGAGCCAGGAGGATATCTCACTGCTTTTACAACTTGTACAAAATAAAGATTTCCAGAATGCATTTAAGATACACAACGCTGTCACAGTACACATGAACAAGGCCAGTCCTCCTTTTCCTCTTATCTCCAGTGCACAAGATCTTGCCCAAGAGGTATGTATTCTGAACATCTGCTTGAAATATACAGGCTAATTGTTGGTGATAGTAAGGCAGTATTATTGGAAAATACTGATGTGACTATAAGCCTTGTTTGAATTAATTACTATTGATCACATGTTAATAATTTATTGTGTTTAGGAAAAATTTGCTACATGCATTTTATCCTGAAAAAATATATACTTCAAAATCAGAGCTCTGTTTCATGAAAAGAAGTGTTAGTTTTATATATAAAATTATATATTTGCATAGTGAGATAAATATTTGTCTAACTTACTAAAGTGAAGTTTTTTTAGTGCTTTTATAAGTGTATAGTTTTATTTTAAGCATTATACATTATAAACTGAGATGAGTACTGATGAGATAAAGTCATATCTGATAACCAGGTGTCATAAATATACAACTTCTAAAATGTGTTGTTTGTAGATATTTTGAAGTTTTTCCTGTATAAAAACTCTATAGAAGGTCCAAAAAAATTAAATTTTAATGTATGATGAGAGTTTCTCTCGTTAACATGCTGACTTTGAAGTTCTAGTTTCTGCTGCTTGTGGATGTTGGTATTCGGTGTCTAATGTATTCTGCAAACGTCTTTTAAATTGAAGGTTTTAAAAAGTTATAAATAAGCCATCTCCTGTTTTTTGGGATGGAATTCTGTCATTATTATAGGATTTTAAGTTACTTTAATATTATAAAAACTAAAAATTCTGGAAGCCCATTAAGTAAATCTATTTCATTGAACCCAGACACAAGACAGTAAATGGCCTCTGGGGAAGGGTAGGACTTTGAGATCTACAGGCCTTTAAAATATCTTAGGAGGCATTTTTTCAGATGAGCACAGAATATATTTTCTTTATTTAGGTGCATACAATGGATAAAAATCCTATGTACAAGAGTGACTGAGAGAAGTCTTGTATCACCCAGAATAGGAGAGTGTGTCCTAAGGACATATTCTAGAGAGGAGATTTTCTGTCCACTAGAATTTAAAAGAGCTAGTTGAAACCCATTCTTTGTGCTCATCTTTCATTATTGAAATTAAATATGCAAAAATTTTAAATAAAAAAATTCCTGTAGTTTTACTTATCATAGCTTAAATGATTTTTCTTTTTTTTTTTTTTTTTTAAGATTTTATTTTATTTCACAGAGAGAGAGAGTGAGAGCAGGAACACAAGCAGGGGGAGCGGGAGAGGGAGAAGCAGCCTTCCTGCTGAGCAGGGGATGCGGGGCTCGATCCCAGGACTCTGGGATCATGACCTGAGCCGAAGGCAGACGCTTAACGACTGAGCCACCCAGGCACCCCCAAATGATTTTTCTGAAAATTGCTTTCCTTACAGAGATCAAAATAATCGACATACTTTGATTTTATTTACTCACAAATACAGGCAACTTTTATTGTGTAGGGTTGGGAGGAATGCATAATAATAATCATTCTCTTCCCTGTCTTTGTCTAACTACCTCCTGGACCTTTGTTTTGTTGAATAGAACAATGGGTGGGAAAGAGAATGAGATAAGCAACAGAGACCAAAATTGCTCCAGTTAAAGAAAGTGGCACAGACAACAGAAAGGGTGAAAAGAAAAAGGATAAAAGAGGCAACATAGCTTAAAAAGTTTTAGGCGTTGACTGCGTATCAAGAGGCACCCGGATTGAGTGAGGCAAAGAATCTACAGATGGCTTAAAGAGTAAATGCTTTGGGAGAGAAGGAAAGTGTTGAAAAGAACTTTAAAAAATTAATTTGAAAATTAGTTTTAGGATAGTGAACATATTTACATGGTTCACAATTTTAAAAGTACCATAGCAAGGAGACTTTCTGAATATTTGCTATCACATCCTTAAAATATCTTCAGTAATACTCAAGAATTGTGTTGCTTTGACGATGGTAGGATACGTGGCTGATAGTCACCTTGGGCTGAGACTAGTCTTAAATGAGTACAAACTGAGGGACCTAGTCAGGGCCACAGTGTTAAGTGGTTGTACTGCTGTGTGAATAACTTCCCCCAGAGCTGTGTCTGCACAACTCTGCGGCAGCCCTAACTTACAGTGCATAACACTTAAGAAAAGTATATACTTAGCTCATCATAGCAGAGTGTTAAATCTGAAGACAAAATGATAAAAGTTTAAATGGACACGTTGCCTTTATTTTACAGCTGGAAAAATGCTACCAATCACCTAATTCAATTCTTCTGAATATTGATAGTGAGGTCAGGTGATATTTTGTGACTAGCTTAAGACTAACTAGGCTGGTCATCTGCTCAGTGCCTACTGTTTTGCTTTTATAGCATTCATAATTCCAGTCATTTTAATATGCAGTGAAGAAATTACCTCATGCTTCAGTTGTATCATTTTTACATGAAAATTAAAGTTAAAAAATACAAGAAATTTAGCAAAAGAATGTCTTAAAACATTAAGAAGTGTTCTTTGTTTTTATAGCTTTTTTAAATAGTATTTTTATAGTTTTTTATGTTAAACATTAGATATTATATAATAGATAATAAAGGCTATGAAAACTTCATATATTGAGATCCAGATTAAATCTTTGACAATCTAGAGTATTTATTAATAACCACAAATCAAGGTTTTTTTGGTCACTAAAGTGCTTTTATCAAGAAAAGGTTGAAAACTTGGGTTTCATTTAATGAACTTCTGCTTATCCAGTAAAAATGTGAGCCAGCAGACTAGGAAATAGTATTTTATTTTATTATTTGATTTTTGAGATATTGAGATATATATATATACATGTGCATACATGTATAAATATATATATAAAAAAAACTTGAATCCAAAAGAACTCTCACAAATTAATAGAAAAAGACTATTCAGTTTTTTTTTTTTAATAGGCAAAGGACTTGAAGAGACACTCATAAGAAGACAAAATCCAAATGGCCAATAAGTATGAAAAGGTGTTCAGATCATTAGCTAACAGAAATGCAAATTAAAACAAAATGAGATACCACTACATAGACACCAAAATGACTAAAATTAAAAAAAAAAAAAAGACTGGCAATATCAAATGTTAGTGAACTTATGAAGCAATTGAAACTCTCACACATTAGGGGCGCCTGGGTGGCTCAGTAGTTAAGTGTCTGCCTTCAGCTCAGGTCATGATCCCAAGGTCCTGGGCTCCAGCCCCATGTGGGGCTCCCTGCTCAGCGGGGAGTCTGCTTCTCCCTCTACCACTCCGCCTGCTTGTGTTCCCTCTCTTGCTGTCTGTCTCTCTGTCAAATAAATAATCTGAAAAAAAAAAAAAGAAAAGAAAAGAAACTCTCACACATTACTGGTGGAGTATAAATTGCTACTACCACTTTGGAAAGTGTTTGGCAAGCTAAAGCTTAATGTACCTATATGTTATGACCCAGCAGTTCCATTTCTGGGTATGTACCCGAGAGAAATGAAAACATATCCGCACAAAGACTTAAGTACAAATACTGTTTATAGCATTCAGATAATAACTGGGATTAACCCAGATGTCCATTGATCAGTGAAAGTTGTTAGGCTATCACTGAGGAAGAACATTACAGTCTAATGAAAAGTACTGTGATGGCAGTATTTGTAAGGTACCAAGAGCATGAGATAGATGTGTCTGATTCAAGGGGAGAGGACGGGAGAAAGGAAGAAATATAGATTAAAATTTAATTTGCTGAGTCTTGAAGGATGACTGGGAATTTGCCAGGAAATCCAGGAAAGAGGAAAAGCCATTCCACTGGCAAAGGGTACAAAGACTGTAGTGACTGAGGAAGTCTGGCCTATTTCTTCAACAATGAGTAAAGGGTAGGATACAATCTTAAAAGTTAAGAGTCCAGATCCCGAAAGCCAGATAAGCCATATTAATAAGTTTAAATTTAACTTAATGATGGATCTGTGTGGTAAATATTTTAAAATAATTAACTTACATGAATAGATAAAAGGAGGAAACCATATGATCAACTTGATGATGCGGAAAAGATACCTGAAAAAAATTTAGTTCCTACCCTTGATGATGAAAATTCTTAGAAAGCCAGGCACATTTTGTTAACTTAATAAAAAAATAATATCAGGTATCAATAGGGAGCATCCTGTGTAATGCTGAAATACCCAACACATTGCTTTTTAAGCCTGGAATAAGACAATCTACAGACTCTCACCTCTAATATTCAACACTTTTCTGGAGGTATTAGCTAGTGCAATGAAACAGGAAGAAGTAATGAAATAGAAAGTTGTGGGAGAACAGCAAAACTGTGAAATTGTTTCTAATTTGAATAGGCTGAATTACTTTGACAATTCAGGTAGCTGGGAGAGCTAGCATCATAGGGAACATTCATAATCATCATAGTCATCATAGGGAGCATTCATAATCATCATGATGCATGCAGAGAACAACAAGCAGTTTAGGGCTGGATCAAAAAGGTTAAGGCATGAGGAATGCCAGGTGATAGGGCTGGAAAAGAAGCAGAAGTCAGGTGATGCTAAGGAACTTGGACTTGATCCTGTAAATGACAGCCAACCAGAACTAAAATGTTTATATTTCTGTTCTAGAATTGAAAAGGATATTTAATGACATTGAAAAATAAAATATTTTAAAAATTAATATCAAATCAAAGCAGTTATAGAATTGTATAAATAGCATGATCTCATTTCGATAAAAGTAAGTGTAATGGATAAACACAGATTTTCCCATAGTTTTGGGGTTATGGGCATATTTTTTTTGGTAACCAACTTTATTGATATATAATTTACATATGCTTAAAATGGGTACATTTATTGTATAGTTCAGTATGTTTTGACATATTATACACTTGTGTAATCTAACACCACAGTCAGGTTATAGAAGCATTCATGATTCCACTAAGCTTCCTCATGGCCCTTTACAAACAATAACCACCTCCCTCCCACTCCCCAGGCCCTAGGCCTTCACTGATATGTTTTCTGTTTTTACAAATTTGCCTTTTCTGGGCATTTCATATAAATGGAATAAGATAATATGTAGTCTTTTGTGTCTGACTTATTTTTCAAATTCATCCATGTGTTGCATGTATCAGATTTTGTAACTTCTTGCTGAGTAAGTAGTATTCCATTGTATAAGTATCCCATAATTTGTTTAACCACTCACCTATTGATGGATATTTGAGTTGTTTCCTATTTATTATTCTAGCAGTGTGTAATGGTGTATCATTTTGGTTTGTATTTACATATATTGAGCATTTTTCATAGGCTGTTTCCCTGTCTTGTCAGATTTTTTTCTCATTTAAAAGGTCAGATTGTTGGTCTTAATGAGTTCTAAGAGTTCTTAATATATTTTAGTTACAGGTTCTTTTGTCATATATCTATCTCATGGTGAATTTTGGTAAAAACAAGGATAAGGATAATACAGGAGGATATATACCAGATTAATATCTCTGGGTTTGAATATTATGACTTTTATTTCCTTCTTTTTGGTTAACTATTTTCCAGTTTTTTACATTTAACATATACCATTTCTATAATTTAAAAAATTAGTTTAAAAACGAAAAGGAGGGTGGGGGATGGGGTAACTGGGTGATGGGCATTAAGGAGGGCATGTTATGTAATGAGCACTGGTTTTATATACAACTGATGAATCACTGAATTCTACCCCTGAAACTAATAATATACTATATTTTAATTAATTGAATTTAAATAAAATTAAATTTAAAAAAAGAAAAAGGATTTTGGCTCTGAAAGAAAATAGAGAAAAATAGTGTAGCTAGAAAAGAGTATTAGATCAGGAGAGAGTATTTTCTTTTTAAAGATAAGAGATTAGAGCATTTTTATAGGCCAATGGAAAGGAAGCAGTACAATGTAAGAATAGCCTTTTAATTCCTTAGTCCTTTGTAGAAATAGTTGATGATGTGTGAGGACACTAAAATAGGTAACATATAGACTAATAGGGAAAGGAAATAAACACTTAAGAGGAGCTCTACATTTCTATAGAAGGGAAGATCTCAGAGATGTTTAGGAAAGGATATAAAAGTAAAAGGAAAAAAATGTATGTATACAAAATTATTATTGAGTTGATTTGGTACACACTGTATACCCTTAGCATTTGTAATCCAGATTTTTCTTTTCCCCTCAGAATTACTTTTTCCAGCTATCAGAAAAGGTCAGGATCAGGGACCATAAATTTCATGTTAAATTAGCCTAGATTTGATGTATTTTAAAAAGAAAGGCACCTTATTTTAAAAAATCAACATTTAATTGCCTCCAGCTTTGAGTTACTGCACTTGTCCATTAGTAAGGCTTTAATAGAATTCTTGAAGAAGATAATAATTGCTATGTTAGCTATCCTGTTTATACATACAGAACTCTACAATTAGAAACATGTTTGTCTAGGAACCAAAACAAGAGAACAGGCTGGTTTGGGAACTGTCGTTGCTTTGATACACTTGTGGTCAAATTAGTTAATCCCCAAATAATCATCTCTTAGGTTTGACAGGGGAATTACTAATAAAATGATTTAAAATCGGGGCACCTGGGTGGCTCAGTCGTTAAGCATCTACCTTCGGCTCAGGTCATGATCCCAGGGTCCTGGGATCAAGCCCCGCATCGGGCCTCCTGAGCCTGCTTCTCCTGCTCCCCCTGGAATAAGTTCCTGCTCTCGCTGTCTCTCTCTCTCTGTCAATAAAGAAAATCTTTAAAATAAATAAATAAATAAAATGATTTAAAATAGCCAGAAGTATTAGAGAATTACTGTTTTAATCATGAGTTACTTTTATAAAAAATTGTATATAAGAATTTATATGTTTTCATAAATGGTGATAATTTTGGTTTTGTTATCTGAATTATTGCAAAGCACTCTTTTTGGTGGGTAATTGAGTTTGGAAATAGAAAAGAGAAGAAAATCAGAGGTATTGACACTGAGAACATATATAGAATCATCTTTGGGGAAAAATAGTCCACAAAGCAAAATTTATACCTTTAAATACTTGTGGTAGAAGAAAGAAGATTGAAAATAAATGAACTGGGGGCACCTGGGTGGCTCAGTTGGTTAAGCATCCAACTCTTGATTTCGGCTCAGGTCATGATCTGACCTGGATCTGACCTTACGTTGGGCTCCAAGCTCAGTAGGGCATCTGCTTGAGATTTTCTCTCTCCCTCTCCCTCTGCCCCTCCCCCCACTAGCACTCTTTCTAAATTACTAAGTAAATAAACTCTTAAAAAATGAACAGAGCATACAGCCTAAATGATTAGAAATTGAAAAGGGGAATAAACTAAAGCAGAGGAAAGGAATTGGGATTATTTAAATGGAAAGAACGACAGATTTAAACTTAGAAGCTGGGTTTTTGAAAAGTACAAGAAAATAGAGAAACCTTTGACAAGTTACATAAAGGAAAAAAAGTCCAGTAACATTAGGAAATCTACCCTTAAAAACTCTACCATGCTCAGATGAATTTGGTCACCATACAATTCTGGTGTTAAATAAGCTGTTTTAATACATAAATATAGACTATTTCCCACCTCAGTGTACTAGAATAGTATAACCTAGATACTAAAACCAGACAGTAGTTTTGCAAACCAGTGTACATGACTTGCACTCAACGAGTAGAGGCCAATCCAATTTAGGAACATTAATGTAGAAATCTTAAAATATGAATAACTCACATCTAGAAATATATTAAAGTAGTAATTTATTATGTGCCTAGGTACTGTGCTAAGCAGTTTATATGGATTATCTCAATCTTTTAAGAACCTTGAATGGTAGGTGCCATTCTACAGATAAGGAAATAAAGGCTAAAAGAAATTCATCATTATCAAGTGGAGTTTATCCTAGGAATACAAGAATTGCTCAACCTCAGGAGATTTTTTAATGTAATTACCTGTGCCTGTGGCCTGGTAGTTGTTCCATTACTCTCACGTAAGTGTATCTTGTTAGTCTGTGACTCTTTAAAGTGTCATCTCTGATTTAAAATGTAGTTATATAAACATTTTAAAACTATAACTAGTCAAACTGAGGGTTCTAGAGGGAAGGGGGATGGGGGGATGTGTTAGCCTGGTGATGGGTATTAAGGAGGGCACGTTCTGCATGGAGCACTGGGTGTTATACGCAAACAATGAATCATGGAGCACTGCATCAGAAACTAATGATGTAATGTACAGTGATTATAACATAAAAAATCAGTACAAAGGGAAAAAAATAACTAGTAACGGTTAGAATAGTTTTTCTTCCCTTATGTAATCATTATTAGTCTATTTTATGGTATGTTGGGAGAAACTTTCAAGAAGCAAACAGGTCATTCATAGTTGTAAATACCAAAATCTTATCTAGTGTATTTTTTTAAAGAATGCTCTTAACAATGATAACAAGGTTGAAAACTTGTGAGAAGAAACATATTCCTTTTTTCTCTTACAATTCTACTTTGTAGTGCTTTTCGTTCTTACAGGTAGTTTCTTACAAGTTTAAATTGTATCTTTTTTTAATATACCTGTATAGATGTTGGTGATACTTCCTATAACCTAGGAAAAATAATCTTATGTTTCTTAGGTACAAACTGTTTTGAAGCCAGTCCACCAGAAGGAAGGACAAGAATTAACTGCTTTGCTGAGTGCTCCACATATTCAGGTAGAAAATGAACAAAATGATATATAAGTGATTTCTCCAGCATTCAAAGTCTCTGATAAGTCTCTTAGGGCTAGAAGAGACCTCAGACATTATCTGTGTAGCCTGTTTGGTTTATAACTCACACTGCAAAATAATTACTATGTTGGAATACACACACACACGTTACTTTATTTTTTGATTATATATATTTTTTTAATAGGTTTTTTTTTTTTAATATTTTATTTATTTGACAGAGAGATAGCGAGAGCAGGAACACAAGCAGGGGGAGTGGGAGAGGGAGAAGCAGGCTTCCCGCTGAGCAGGGAGCCCGATGTGGGACTCGATCCCAGGACTCCGGGATCATGACCTGAGCCGAAGGCAGATGCTTAACGACTGAGCCACCCAGGCGCCCTGATTATATATTTTTATATTTAAAATTAACCACATTAGTTTTGAAACAACTTTGTATTCTACACAAAAATTCTTCCCTTTTTTGGTTATATTTTCCATAAATTTTAATTATCTGTGGTGTTGGGCCTTTAAATTGATTTTGTTATTATGAAGTTTAATAAGCATTTTAGACTTTCATAACCCATCCCAGAGTTACCCTGTTATATGTAACACATCTTTTTTATTAGCTATAAAAGATACAGGGTTGCATCTGTACTTCATTAGAAAATTTGGGAACAGATCTGAATATATAAATAATTATAGCACTTCTTCTAAAGGTTTAATGATTAGAATATTAGTCAACATGATTAGATTAAAATCTGTCTACAGAAATAATGCTGCTACTTTAAATGCTGTGGATTTCTTTTGAAACAGGCACTGTTACTGGCCCATGATAAGGTTGCTGAGCAGGAAATGCAGCTAGAACCCTTTATAGATGAGAGAGTTTATGAAAGTGTTGGCCAGTATGGAGGAGAAACTGTAAAAATAGTTCGTATAGAAAAGGCTCGAGATATTCCACTGGTAAGTGTTCCACATCTCTGATCTGAGATCCTTTCTACACAGGGATCTTATGTTTGGCAGGTAGTTGAAGACCCCTTTGAATTTCTAGTAGTTTTTCTTTGTTGAGGTTCATTTGCTGGAGTTCTTTTATGTTCTTAATCAGTTGAGAAAAATGTGTTCATCTTTTCTTACCTATAATTTGATGAAAATAATAGCTTGTAAAATAATTATTGAGGAACAAAGAAGGGACAAGTTATCTGCTTCATTATTTTCCCAGCTTTTTAAAAAAACAGTAATTAGAAATTCTGATCTTTGCCTTCCATTAATTCTGTTGAAATATAATTACTTATATGGTTCACATATACTTAGAAGTATGTATTCCTTAATGTTAATATTTTTTAAATTTTTTGTTTTTAATTTTTTTTTATTATGTTCAGTTAGCCAGCATTTTTAATGTTTTGTATGTAAAACTTTTTTCAATCTCTTTTCTAAGTCTGCTGTAGTTGCCTTAATTTTCTTTATTTTCAGAGAAATAGTCTCAAATCTTCATGTCTCAAATTATGTCTTGAATAGTGTGGTACATAAAATAAGGACTGTATTTTATGGGCAGTTAATGTAAGTAGGTTTTTTCCCCACCAGAAAAAATAAATTTTAAAATAAAAATTTAGGAGAAAAATGTTACTACATACTCTGTCTACTTTTAAGCTTTATTCTGTACTACATATTTCCATTTTTTGAATGCATGTATTTCAGTTGTGCTTCCAATTTATGTAATAAATACTAATGTTTAAATACACTTTAATTTGAATTGGTGCAGCTATATTTCATATTTGAATAATAAACCAGACTATTCAGTCCTTAATCATATTTTGAATTTTAAAAAGGACTTTTATAGTTATAAGTTGTATACACTAATTACAAATCTAAATATAGTATAACCATTTGAATAGCATCCAGCATATAGAGGACAAATTTGATTTTAGGTCTTCACATTGTTTTTAAAAGTAAGTGCATTTTTCTGTTGTTGTAGACTTCAAAAGTCTGCTTGATTTTAGAATTCAGATGCATACAGCATGTCAGAAGCAGAAAATGTTGTAAGGAAAATGGTCAACTTTCAAAGCTAATTACCATGCTTACTCTAGTTGTGTAAGTTAGTTTTTTTCTCAAGATAACTGAAGGCTAATATTGTTGAATAGAAAAGTTGTAAATGAAGAAATGTTTAATAAAAAAGTACATTTTTATTTTAAATTAGATACTGCCTTTTTTTAGGGTGCTACAGTTCGTAATGAAATGGATTCTGTCATCATTAGTCGGATAGTAAAAGGAGGTGCTGCAGAGAAAAGTGGTCTATTACATGAAGGAGATGAGGTTCTGGAAATTAATGGCATTGAAATTCGAGGGAAAGATGTCAATGAGGTTTTTGACTTGTTGGTAAGTTGATACAGAAGAGTAACTGATAGGTTCTTAAAAGCTGTTTTCTTTGTTAAAAGAAAGACTTTTTAAAAGACTTAAAAATGCAGTATTTTAAAAATAATTATTAAGAACACTAGGCAATTTCTAGCCTAAATTTCACATAATGTAATTAGTTCCACAGTATTTTTTAGTAGAGTTTTATTTTGGTATGATTACCACTGTTATTTTTTTTATTTTGAGCTTTATTACTACTAGGTATATTTTATTTGCCTCTGAAATCACTAATATAACTAATTAATTCTTCGATATATATATATTGAGTGCCTATTATGTGCTAGCCACTAGGAAAATAGTGACAAAACAAAGTCCATGCTGTAATCATTTTTTAAGTTCATTTTTTTTTTTAAATTTTCTTCAACTGATTGCTGTTTCCTTAGCAATATTAGGTAATAGCATGGTATTAATGTACACTGTCCAACATAATAGCCAATAGCTACATGAGCTAGTTATTTAGATTTAAAATTCCGTTCCCCATTCATACTGGCTGCATTTCAGGTGTTTAAGAGCAGTATATAGCAAATGGCTTCCATATTAAGATGTAGATATAGAACATTTCCATCATTGTAGAACGTTCTATTGGACAGTGCCAGTATAATCAGGAAGCCATTTTATAGTTAGTCTTTGAGGGCAATTTATTATCACTTTGTATATATCCACAAACCAGATTCATAGTCTTATTTACAGCATCAGTAGTTACAGTAGAATCTCTCCTATCTTCTGACATTTGTTGAAGAATCTAGAAAACATCCTTATTTTCACCTGCCCTCATTCATTGCTTTGGTAAAGCAGTGTTAGTAGTCATCATTTTTAGGCCTTGTTTTATTGGCTGTTGTCTCTGTTGAGCACTGCTCCCTGCTATGTCAGGACCAGAAGTTGTGATTACTGTTTAGGCTGGAGGTATCTGAACAAGGTAGTCAGTGGTGTACTGGGAAATAATAGCTAACAGTAACACTATACAGTTAAAAAACAGAATGGGTGACAGAGACTGGGTATCTGGGAAGTGGGAATATATTTGTATATTTGCATCACTTTTCTAATCCTGGTCACAATTACTATTTCAAATTCTACTGTGTTAAAATTGATGTTTGCCAGAGTAGATGACCCAGAACTGTTATAGCACTGTGGTATTTTCCAAACCTTCTCTGTGGGATCTTCCTTTTTTTTTTTTTTTTAAATATTTTATTTATTTATTTATTTGACAGAGAGAGACACAGTGAGAGAGGGAACACAAGCAAGGGGGAGTGGGAGAGGGAGAAGCAGGCTTCCTGCGGAGCAGGGAGCCCAGTGCACGGCTCAGTCCCAGGACCCTGGATCATGACCTGAGCAGAAGGCAGACACTTAACGACTGAGCCACCCAGGCACCCCCACTGTGGGATCTTCCTAAGCTTACACAAAATGGAAGACAAAAACCAAAGACTTCTGGGATAAGTGGCTTTCTCCAGTGGACCAGAATACAGAATGCCACATTCCTGGGTAGCTCTACTATAATGGAGTCCATGAAAGGTCTAATTTATGCTTCCTGATGAAATGGCATTCATCTTTACCAACTATTTAAAAGGTCTTCTAGGGGATCCAGAATAGTCCAGTTTAGGGAATATTGATCATAACATCATAACATCTAGAACAATTTTCATAAAGATAGATTTTTAAAATAACCTGATCTTTCTATTGCAGTCTGATATGCATGGTACTCTGACATTTGTTCTGATTCCTAGTCAACAGATCAAGCCTCCTCCTGCCAAGGAAACAGTAGTAAGTGATTTTTTTATGTTCATTATTTATTGTCTGATGTCTACTGTTTAATTAATAAACTTTATTTTTTTAGAGTAGTTTTAGATTCACAGCAAAATTGAACAAAGTTACCACATATGCATACCTCCACTATCAGCATCTTGTATCATTTGTTACACTGATGAATCAGTGCTTTCATTATTTCTCATTAGGATTCACTTTTGTTGTACATCCTTTGGGTTTTGACAAATGTATAATTTATATGTATCCACCATTGTATCATACAGAAGTTTGACTGCCCTAAAAATCCTCTGTGCTCTGCCTATTCATCACTTCCTCCCCTCCCCAACCCATGGCAACCACTGATCCCCATAATTTTGCCTTTTCCATAATGTCATATAGTTGGAATCATACAGTATGTAGCCTTTTCAGATTGGCTTTTTACATGAATGATAAGCATTTAAGTTTCCTCCATGTCTTTTCTTAGCTTTTGGTAGCTCATTTTTTTTAGCGCCAAATAATATTCCATTATCTGGTAATATAATAGTTTATCCACTTACCTACCGAAGAATATCTTAGTTGCTTCCAAGTTTTGGTAGCTACCAATAAAGCTACTATAAACATCCCTGTGCAGGTTTTTTTGTGTGGACATGTTTTCATCTCATTTGGGTAAATACCAAGGAATCAAAAACTTAACATCCACACAAAGCTTACACATGAATGTTTACTTTTGAGTATTAGAAATGTCACTTTATCTATTTATTTATTAGATTTTTTTTATATATTAGCACAAGCTGGGGGGAGGGGGAGTGGAGGAAGCAGATGCCCCACTGAGCAGGGAGCCCAATGCGGGACTTGATCCCAGGACCCTAGAATCATGACCTGAGCTGAAGGCAGACGCTTAACTTACTGAGCCACCCAGGCGCCCCTAGAAATGTCACTGTAATTATTTCTTACATTCAAGTAAAAGGTAAATTCAGTTTTTATTTAAAGAAATATTAATATTTCAGATTTATTAAACTCTGAAAAGTAAAAAGTAGAACATACTTCCAGAATTTTTATGAATTCTAACTTTTGTCAGAATTTTTCTGTCATTATAGGTCGTTTATTTAACTTAAACATACTTAGAGTAGGGTGAAAAAGTGCTTTTACAAAGTATGCACAACTTTAATTTTAGAATATATATTGCTCTTTATGTTAAACATTTTTTCAACTAGCTGTAGTAACAGACAGACTTAATTATTATACGACCTAACAGTTCCACTCCTAGGTATATATCCAAGAGAATTGAAAACATACATCCTCACAAAAAATCATACATGAATGTGCATAGCAGCATTATTTTATTAACCAGAAAGTAGAAACAGCCCAAATGTCTGCTAGATGATGAATGGAAAGTGAAATGTGGTATATCCATAGAAAGGAATATTATTTGGCAATCAAAAGGAATAAAGTACTGATTCATGCTACAACATGGATGAAACCTTGAAAAAATTAGGCTAAGTGAAAGAAGCCAGTCACAAATGGCCATGTATTGGTCATTTATATGAAATGTCCAGAGTTGGTAAATCCGTAGAGATAGAAAGTAGTTCCTTAGGTATAGGGAAGGGGAGTTAGGAGGGTATGGGAGTGATTCCTAATGAGTATGGGGTTTCCTTTTGGGGTGATAAAAATGTAAAATTGTTTATGGTTGCACAACTCTGAATTTACTAAAAACTAATTGTATACAGTAGTGACTTTTATAATATATGAATTATTTCTCAGTAAAGCTGTTAAAAAATTATAGACTTCAAAATGAGTTACATGGAAGGCTGATCTATTACATCTGTTATTAACTTTTACAAAAAACGTAACACTTTGAAAGAGGACACAGTTTCATTTTTTTTCTCAATATTTCATCACAGTTATGCTTTATATTTTGGCTGTCATTTCACATTTGCCTTTATTCCTTACGGAACATATTGAAGTTGATGTTGCAACTGCAACCTTCCTTCTGTTTAAAGTTCTTTATAAGAAGAAAAATGAGGAAATAGTTTGTCTCTGAATTCCAGCAGCCTCAATATCTCTCTATGCCTTTTCCTATGTCTCTCCTGTGAACAAGAATTTGGATATTAAATATAGGATGATCTGGTTTGTATTTAAAAAAACACTTCTGGCTACTGTGTAGAAATTGAATTAGTAGAGCCAATAATGGAAGCAAGGAGATTTAGGAAACTGAAGTCATCATAAAGTATGATGATGGCTTAAACTAGGATGATAGTGGCAGTGGAGAAAATGGATCAGGCTGTGTTCTAGAAGTAGAGATGGCAGGACCTTGTAATGAACATGGAGGGTGAAGGAAGGAGGAAGAATGCCTGAGTAACTTAACTGGGCGGATAGTGGTGCTGGTTATTACTGAAGGGAAGTCTGAAGGAAAAACAGATTTGGGGAGAAAAATGAAGAGGCCCATTTTCCAGGTTTGAAGGGCATTCAGGTAGACATACTGAGAACATAGAACTGAATATATCAGGGGTGCCTGGGTGGCTCAGTCAGTTGGGCATCTGACTCTTGGTTTCGGCTCAGGTCATGATCTCAGGGTCATGAGATTCAGCCCCATGTAGGGCTTTGTGCTTGTGGGGAGTCTGCTTGAGAGTCTCTCTTCCCCTCTCCCTCTGCCTCCCCCATGCACTCACACACTCTCACTCTCTAAATTAAATAAACCTTTAAAAAAAAGAATATATCAGTCTGGAATTCTAAGGAGAGATCTGGGCTATAGTTGTATTTACTGCGGGGAGAGCAGGTCAGAGGAGCAGTCTGTTTATATGTACTTGATGTGTTTGCAAAATTTAAAAATAATTGTTTAAGGATGTTCACATTCACAATTTATAAAGATAACTGGGTTGGAAGGAGAAGTTGAGAACCACTGCTGTCAAATGTATTTACTTCTCTGTTAGAGGTATAAAATGTATTATCCAATTTTCATCTTAATTTTTTTTCTCATTTAGAAGATGATCTGGAATTTTATTAATGCAGTAAGGTTTTATGAATACATATTAGAGATACCAAAAATATAGAAAATTTCTGTGTATATTAGAAGGCCATCCCTTTTCAAGTTAGGGCAGTTGCTTTTTTAAGTTTGCTATTACCTTAAGGTCATATTTTTGTCTGCCTTCTACTAAGTATCTTTTGGATGTCCCACATACCCCAAACTTCTCATGTAAAAAAATGGAAGCAAACAATAAAGATAATCCTTTTTTTTTTTTTAAGATTTTATTTATCTATTTGAGAGAGAGAGAGAGCACGCGCACACATGAGCTGGAGGGGGGGGCGGGCAGAAGCAAACTCCCTGCCGCTGAGCAGGGAGCCCGAAGCAGGAACTTGATCCCAGGACCCTGGAATCATGACCTGAGCCGAAGGCAGATGCTTAACAGACTGAGCCACCCAGACACCCAAAGATTATCCTTCTTGAGTGGGCATTGGGAGGAGCAATCTCAGGTTGGAGGAGGATTTTGAAAACTGTTGCTTGACACTGCAAAGGCTTTTCTTGATGCCGTCCTTAATTTTATAGTGTGAGTGAGGGGTAAAGTTTAGGCCAAGCTAAAGGAAGATACACTTTCAAATTCTTTTCTCTTCCACCAATAATTTAAAATTCAAAATAAATCTATAATAAATACAGAAATAAAAATTAAAAAGGAAAATTATTTTGGAATATTGAATCCCTTAGGAAAGATGTAAATAAATTGATGAAACATTATCTCTTTACTATATCCCCATCGTTAGGACTTCAAATGTGAATAGCTTACGAGCTTATGGGTACTAAAAAAAAGGCAAAGAGAAGAATGTTAGGCTGGAAGATAATTGTATTTAAACAATCCTGTAATCCTATAATTTGAAATTCAGAAGATTTTGTTTCATTTAGAAAGCAAAGACTGTTTTGATTAGTACGGAGCCTGTTTAAGATTCTCTCTCTCCCTCTTTTAAAAAAGTTGGGGGGGGGGGGACTCTGTTTTCTTTTGTATGGTAAACTAAATTAGCCACTAACAGAGTTGGAGAAGAAAGATGGATGAAGATAACTTCTAGCACTAATAAGAATTGATCAGTTAGATTATATGGATAGAAGTCACATAGAGCATGTCAAGGCATTGCTCAGACTTTAACTCAACCAAATGGTTCATCTCTGATGTGAAATAAATTTTGCTCTTAATTTTAGGGGGTACATTTTAAACAGCACTAGATAAACTTATTATATAAGCAAAGCATTTCTCCTCTGCACTCTTCTTCAGCCTACACAGAGAGAGGCTCCATTCCAAACCAGCTAAATCTGAGGAGTCAAGGGGTAGTGATACCTAGGCAAGAGGAGAGAGAAAAGCATCTCTGGCTGATTTTGTCGACCTTTGGCAAAAGTCATAGATCTAGATATAGCCTCCACAGTGATCTAATTAGTTTCCCTCAGGGTAGTAGTTCCCTAAAATTTTTAAGGTACATTTTATTTTTTATTTTTTTTAAAAGATTATTTGACAGAGAGAGAGTGCATAAGCACAACAGGGGGAGTGGCAGGCAGAGGGAGAAGCAGGCTCCCCGCAGAGCAGGAGAGCCCGATGGTGGGACTTGATCCCAGGACCCTGGGATCATAACCTGAGCCAAAGGCAGACGCTTAACGACTGAGCCACCGAGGCACCCCTTAGGGTACATTTTAAATGGCATTTATGTAACAGTTATCCAAGGAAGCTAGTTAAAATGAAGAATCCTGAAGTCTGAGATACGGCAAAAGAATTTAGTATCTTTGGGGCGCCTGGGTGGCTCAGTTGGTTAAGCGGCTGCCTTCGGCTTGGGTCATGATCCCAGGATCCTGGGATCGAGCCCTGCATCGGGCTCCCTGCTCAGCGGAGAGTCTGCTTCTCCCTCTCCCACTCCCCCTGCTTCTGTTCCCTCTCTCGCTGTGTCTCTCTCTGTCAAATAAATAAATAAAATCTTGAGGAAAAAAAAAAAAGAATTTAGTATTTTGATAAACATTCCAAGCAGGTGATCTGAGGAGAACACTTTGAAAATGTGCTGGGTATTGCCTTCAGAAAGTTATTTGATAAAATCATCAATCAGGTGACCAAGTTAGTCTGATTTCACAGATCTCTAAAAGCCTGCTAACAAAAATGATCTCTTCACCACCTTTTAAATAATCCCTGTAATTCCATATTTAGATTTCCAAGACTTTTTGGCTAAAAAGCAACAATTTAAGCAGATTTTGGAAGCATTGATTGACAGAGATGATAAGCAGTTTTTTGATAATCCTACATATTAGGTACTTCTAGATTATCCTACATCTTATGCCAAGATTACAAAATTGTATGTATCTCTCTCTAACCAGTCTCTCAACTGTGTTTTGACTCTCTGCTAGCTTTGTATAACTTTCTAAAATTCACTTTTGGTTTTACCTGGCAGAGTTTTCAAGATTTTTATCAAAACTCTGTTTTCACATCAAGAAAAAGGCTTGTTAGGGCACTCTGTAGTTGGAATGCAGCAGAACACAGTCTAAATGAATGAGTTCTCTTAACCATATTTAACCCAAGAGTGAATACTATGTGATTCTATTTGTATGAAGTAAAATACCAGGGAAGGTAATCTGTGCTTCCAGGAATCAGGATGATGTTTACCCTGGAGGACGTAGGGTGGTTAGTGACTGAAAGGGGCATGAGGGGCAGGGCTCCTGGGGTGCTGGTCATAGTCTGGTTCTTGATTTGGGTGCTGGTTATACAGGTATGTTTTATTTGTGAAAATTCATTGAGCCATACACTTAATTTTGTGTATTATTGAACTTACGGAGTATATCCATGAAAAGCTACCCCCCAAAAAGACTAGTATGTAAATTCTACATTTTTAACTGGATCATTTGATTGCTTTACCTCATTGTTGTTATTGTATATATTGGGACTTAGATTTCCTCATTTCCTCTTTACAGTAGTAATACACGTTTCTGAAATTATAAAAGTATTTAATGACACCCTCAAGCATAATTTCTGAAAGATGCTGCTGCTTTCATGAGAATTCTTGGTTATGCCTTATTATGAAGAGATAGATATATATATATATACCTTTATCACTTAGAAAGTATTTTATCAAATTTCATGTCTATCATCGATTGAGAATAGTCAATTTTGTGTTTTAGGAGCTGCAAAAAGATCCTGTCTTCTCATAAAACAGTTTTTGAGGTAGACCAGTATTATCTTTATGATAGGTGGCCTCAGTTTTGGCAAGGGTAAAAGGCTTCTTAGTTAAGGAAAGACAAGTAACAATTGGATAGAAAAGGACTCTGAATTAGAAGATTCTTAGGATGTCAATCAATTGCTTGGCTCATTGAGCTGCAGTTTAACCTATATGGAGCAGAAATACTCATTGCGTACAGGTGTTGGATTTCATTAGACAAAAAAATGGACTACTTAAGAGGTTTTGGAAATGGCCACATGCCACTTAACCAGATGGGATGAAAATTACAGATGGAGAAGTTCAAAAGAATATTAATACTAATTCCTTTATAACTTCTTAGAATTAAGATGACGTTGTTATATCTTAAGGAGGTATACTGGAGGAAAGAATATAGGCAATAACTTAGCTTTCAAGAAGATTCATGTGAATCTTACCTACCTTTAATGCTATAAGTCTAACACATTTTTTGATATGCAAAAATACACTGTTAGCAAAAATTATAACTAGTACCACTAGTTAAATTTCAAAGCCTACAAATAGAACAAAACAGGAATTTATTATCAATTTGATTTAGGGGTGCCTGGGTGGCTCAGTTGTTAGGCATCTGCCTTCAGCTCGGGTCATGATCCCAGGGTCCTGGGATCGAGCCCCGCATTGGGCTCCTGCTTGGCGGGAAGCTTGCTTCTCCCTCTCCCACTCCCCCTGCTTGTGTTCCCTCTCTCGCTGTGTCTCTCTCTGTCAAATAAATAAATCTTTAAAAAAAAATTAATTTGATTTAGATAATTTTAGCAGTTTGGGGTGTGATTGTTTATGAATCTAAACACATCCCTTTGAAAGAAACACTGAGGGAAGTCGAAGACACAGTTACATTGACCGTGTATTCAGGAAGGGATGACAGCACCTGGGAAACAGACACTCTTCTATGAAGGGGACAGATGTGGTGAGGTTTAGTCTGCCTTTCCGGGTGGTTGTGGTTTAGAAATTACATACCTTATTGCAGAGTCATTGTTTTCACCGGTCAGGAATGGAGGGTGAAGGGGTCTCAGTTACATTCCCTCCTGCTTCTCTCAAGCCTTTGAGGCCCCTGAGCATGTCAGGTTTGTTAGTAGCTAACAGTGCAATGCTCTGCATACTCTTGTATGGTTTTGTTTGTTTTTTACTCTTGTACATGTTTGCAGTCAACAGAGAGATGAACTTAATTGAAGAAAACAGAAGCCTGAGAAAATACTGCTGTTACTTAACTAAACCTCCCTGCTTTCAACTCATAATTGCTTTACACTAATGAAAAATTGTAACATTTTAATGTTTACGCTAAATATTTTATTTTATCATTACTCTTATTTTGATTTTTACCTTTTTTATCTTTTAGATCCATGTGAAAGCTCATTTTGATTATGACCCCTCAGATGACCCTTATGTTCCTTGTCGAGAATTAGGTCTGTCTTTCCAAAAAGGGGATATACTTCATGTCATCAGTCAAGAAGATCCAAATTGGTGGCAAGCCTACAGGGAAGGGGATGAAGATAATCAACCTCTAGCTGGGCTCATTCCAGGTAAAAGACAATACAGTAGAACATATTTAAAAGAACATTTAAAATACAAGCCTTCACAGAGAAAAACTCACTTTTTCATGCAGTTGGGTCTTTATGTGTATTAATAAGGTCACAGAAAGCTACACATCCTCTGTTTTAAAATCCAAAAGCTAAAAACAAGTTTTGTCTATACTCAGTCATATTTCAGAGAATGAGGAATGGGCTTCTTTTATTAACTTTAGAGGATGATGCTATACCCTTGATTCTTCACAGTAACAGACATGGGACATTCCTCTAAAATCCCTGGAGTACTGAGTAGCCATCATGTTCTGCTTAGTGCTTGTGCCAGATATCAATCTGATATCTTCTCATCATGCCAGCCTTAGCCCATAAATATTTAGAACTAGAGTATATTGACTGATTACATTGAGTTTCTGAAAGATGCATCAAGGGGATTTGGGTGATATCATTTGTAAGTCTTTTTATAGGACAAATAAAGTGTTAGAATTAGAAGATTAAAGAGGTCATATTGTCCACCTCCCATTAATGTCTGCTGCCATTACAACAGTCTACATACGTATGTACTATAAAAATGTGCCATAGAAGTACATGACTTAATGTTTTTAAACATTTTAAAGTGTAACTGATCAAAATTATTTTGTTCCCTATTTTTTTCTGAATCTGTCAAAATCAGATACTTATTTAAAGAAAAATTTTTTTTACTTATTTTTAAATTTTAATGCTCTTAAAATTTCCCCTGTCATCATAGTTACTTGTTTTTACTAGGAATGCTGTATAGCTCCTAAAGATAGCCTGGTTATCTTTAATACTTCTTATGTATACCAAACTCAGTATTAATGTTTTTGCTTGTGTTCTTATGAAATGCACTAAATTCTACAGATTATCCCAACATAGATGGAATTTGCTTATTGATTTCAAGAAATCCTTGGCTTGAAACAAAAAGAAGATATAAAAATTTTAAAAGTAGAACTCTAATCCAAATTTTCTAAGTAAAACCACTTTTATCCTCCAGAAAAAATACATTTGATTTTAAGGTAGATATCTGAAAAGAAGATGAAAATCAAAAACCTTGAGAGCCTCCTATATTAAGATCTTAATTCTGACAGGAAAAACATTGTATGTTTTTCATATATTTATATCACTGGTACCTTAAAGGTGGAAATAAAAAAAAAATCATTAAAACATACACGTACATATGAAGAAAAAGGGATTGAGAATAATAAATGCAAGGGAATATATTGAGTGGTATCTTAAAATCAAAAAGTGATGAATGTTCACATATTTTGTAAAGTTAACTCCTGGAATTAATTTGTTTGATTTGAGATAATTCTAAATGATCCAGAACCAGGATCCAGCATAGTACTTTCCACTTAGTAAGTGCACAGTGAAAGCTTTGTAAAAATTGAACTATTAATTTTTCTAACACTGGTTTATTACTTATCTTTTCTAATAGATGATATGTCTATATTCTAGTAATACATGTCCTAGGATTGGTTGATAGTGAGGTTGAAACTTAATACTTTAAACATTTGGAGGCTTATAATCATAGCTGACATACTCTCAGATGGTGGCAGAGAGATTTAAAAGGAAGTATAAATGAAAAGTTACTTCTGGTATTTTCTCCTTGATTAAAAAACAAACTTACATTCTTTTGTCTTAAATTTTACTGTCTTTTCTTCCTGCTATTAAGGGAAAAGCTTTCAGCAGCAAAGGGAAGCCATGAAGCAAACCATAGAAGAAGACAAGGAGCCAGAAAAATCAGGTTGGACACTTAATATTTGACATTAATGAAAGGTTTCTTGGGTCTCCATCTGGAACTATGTTTAAATTTACATACCAGGAGGCGCCTGGGTGGATCAGTCGGTTAGGCAGCCAACTCTTGATTTCAACTCAGGTCATGATCTCTCAGGGTCCTGGGATCGAGCCCTACATTGGGCTCCTCACTCACTGGGGAGTCTGCTTGAGGATTCCCTCTCTCCTTCTGCCCCTCCCCCTGCTCGTGCTAGTTCACTTCTTCTCTCTCTCTCTCAAATAAATCTTTTTTAAAAATTTACATATCAGAACTGTCAAAAAAGATGTATTCATGGTAAGAGTGATATGAGAGGCAATACTAATTATCTTAGAACTCTAAAGAAAGGACAAGATATAAGAATTAAAGATCATCTACAATGTGAGACTAATGGAAAATTATAACTATTTCACTGAAAAATAGTTCTATACAACAATATGTGTTTATAAATTTAAATGGAAAACTGAGTTCTTCAGTTTGAAATATGTAGCTTTGTTCAGGGAAACAAGTATCACGTTTATAGTTATGGTTTTAATTGTTCAACAGGAAAACTGTGGTGTGCAAAGAAGAATAAAAAGAAGAGGAAAAAGGTTTTATATAATGCCAATAAAAATGATGGTGAGTTCGGGCACCGGGATGGCTCAGTCAGTTGGGTGTCCAACTCTTGATTTCTGCTCAAGTCATGATCTCAGGGTTGTGAGATCGAGCCCTGAGTTGGCCTCCGCACTGGGCGTGGAGCCTGCTTAAGATTCTCTCTCTCCCTCTCCCTCTGCCCCTCTCCCCCCCACTCCTGCTCTTCCCCCGCCAAAAAAAATGATGGTGAGTTCTACTCTTAGATATAGCTGGATTTATATCTGAAAGAGGTCCATATCTAACACTTGAAAGAAATTAAACTGCTGTTTTCAGGGAGTTATATTTCTAGTCCTGTTTTGCTTCTTAATGTAACATATGCTTACGAAATTCATTTCGCAGAAAGTATTTTCTTTTGGAATCCTATGAGTAGTGCAGCATTTTGAACTTTGAGAAAAACTGGCATAAAAATTAAAGTACAGTGTGGCATTATATAGTGTTATATTGATAGTTTTCTGTTTTTCCTACTTAAATTCTTTGTGAAATTAATACATACCTCTAACAAAATCTACAATATGGTTGTATTTTAGTAAAAATGAGTATTTTGTCTACAATAACTCATGTCACTGAGGCAACCCATTCCACAGAACCTGCTACCTGCTGGCTGAGTCAGGCACATACAGTTTTTTGTTTTATTACTAAAATTAAAAAAAATTTTAACTGTAGCGTCTCTTCTTATCAAAGACTCTAATAACACAGGGCTTGTATTCCCAAGTGACAGCAGTCTGCTGGACCTGAGTGATGGCTGTTGTCTATTAGAGAGACACACTATCTTAGTTCAACAGTTTCCACCACATCCAGTTATTATAAACTCAACCTGATTTTACTGCTTTTCATTACCTTCTTGGTTGGTCCTTGTGTGCATTAGAATTTGCTACCCCTGCTTTGGTTCTTGTCAGAAAGAAGCCAAATAAATAAAGCAAAGGCACTCCTAACAATTTATAAGGCTTATTCTCTCAATACCTTCAGATATTTTTTTTTAGGCAGCATAAATTAAACATGAAAATAAAATGTTACAGATTATTGAAAAATCCCATTTAAAACTAAATCTGAGATTCAATCTACTTTTTTTCCAAAATAAACATCCTTAATACTAATCGAAACATTGTATAGCTAAGATTTACTGAATTTTTAATCCTTTCCTCTGTATTTGGGTAAGTGATTAATATCTGTTTCTTCATTCTTTGAAACACACTAAATTGGTTCTGCTCTAATAGCTATTATGCTACAGAAAACCTGCAAATCTGAAGCTTACAGATGTATAACTAAGTCTTTATAAATAAAAATGCTGCCACAATCTGATTGGACATGTTACAAGAAAGAACTCTGATTTTTCAGAGGGCACAGCATTTTGGGAAGGGCAGGAATTACATTGCTATTCATAATGGTGTCATCATAATGAATATTTTTATTAATAATATCATTTATAATAACCATTCTCTTCCAGGGGTAGTAACTATATGCTTTAGATACCCTCATCTTAGGTCTCACAATAAATTCCTTGAGATTATAGATTAATAAATTGAAGTTCAGATATTAAAGATCTGCTTAAATTCTTAAAGCTAATATAGAGCTAGAATTTAGACAAATACAGTTTGAGTTCCTACTCTGCACTCTGTGCTAAGCACTGGCAAGACTAAGATGATTGCCTGCCCCCATGGAACTTACAGCTGAGTGTGACTATACATCTGATGCTCTTTCCTGGTCAGGGGAAGTAATATGAGTGGGAAGATGGCAGGCTGCTTGTTGTCTGCCTTTGTTTCTTACCACTTGACAGCTCTGATTTCATCTGGATTATGGGCTTTAAGAATATTATCCCACCTGTCACAATTTATACCTCTTCTTGAATCATGACCTCAGGTTAGTATTCCAAGTTTGGATAGCACAAACTGATTGCAAGTTCTGTAATCAGAACTACTTTCTCTGATAACTCTAGTTTGTAGCTACTATTTTAAATATTTGTCTATGCCAGGAATTGTGCTTAGCATATATATTGTGTCTGATCCTTAAACCAACCCTCTAAGTGTAGTATTAGTATCCCCGTTTTACAAAAATGACAGACCATATTCTCATTAGTTCATCCCCTGGTGCCCCACCCTCTGTCAAAGTATGGGCTGCCAACTAGCTATTTTACAGTACAAGCAGTGCAAGTAGTTTTATTGTATTAAAACATTCAAACTACGAAAAAAGAGAAGCAATAAACGCTTTTAGAAGGATTAATATATTGTCTGATTTATGTTCATAGTATTGGGAAGTATATATTGATACTGGAAAACATCCATATAATCCTACCCAGTTATTACTTATCTTGATTCAAAAAGTTAAGCGTTTTTATTAATAAATTGTGCTTCTTTCCAATTGTTTTGGAAGATCTATATCTTTATAACATGGCAATCATTCTGTCTGAAGGGCTTAACTTTTTCTTTTTCAAAGATTATGACAATGAAGAAATCTTAACTTATGAGGAAATGTCACTTTATCATCAGCCAGCAAATAGGAAAAGACCTATCATTTTGATTGGTCCACAGAACTGTGGCCAGAATGAATTGCGTCAGAGGCTCATGAACAAAGAAAAAGACCGTTTTGCATCTGCAGTTCCTCGTAAGTTTGGATGCATTCTCATTTTCCTGTGCTTTTCAGTTGACCACCTTAGAACCTAACTGGAGGGAAATTTTTCCAATTCATTGAAACAGTTTTGCCCAGGAAAGAGGAACTTTGTTTTAATAAAATCTTTTGAGAATTTGTAATTCAAGATAGTCATTATTGAGAAACTTCAGTTTTTCCTATGGTACTAATTATTTTCTAAATGAATTTCAATTTGGGCTTCTTGCAATTCCCTGTTCAATATGGAATCAGCTCCTGGTTTTTTAAACTGGTGCAGAAGACAAAAATTTAGACCTAATCTCTGAACACAGAAGTTCTGTTTAGATTATATAATATCTGGGGGGTGGGGAGGGTTAAAAAAAAAAAATCTTAGTGGAAATAAACTTTAGGAAAAGATGAGTGGCAGTGTTTTAAATGTCAGAAGTAATTTAAAGTGTAAGCATAAAATGTGTTAAGGCAATTAAATATAACTATTATTAAGATACTAAAACCACATTTTTGTTCATTTCTCAGTCTAGAAATAAAATGAATCAGTGTTAAATACATGGGCTCTTAAGATTTCCTCAGTTCATCTTTTTACATTTCATCTGTATTACAAAACTGAAGTTTTCCCTGACTAGCAGAATTATCCCCCAACCTTCCTCTGATCCATGCCCGTTATTTTTACCTGATTTTGTTTGCCTAGATACAACTCGGAGTAGGCGAGACCACGAAGTAGCTGGTAGAGATTACCACTTCGTATCACGGCAAGCATTTGAGGCAGACATAGCAGCTGGAAAGTTCATCGAACATGGTGAATTTGAGAAAAATTTGTATGGAACCAGCATAGATTCAGTACGGCAAGTGATCAACTCTGGCAAAATATGTCTCTTAAGTCTTCGTACACAGGTAAATAAAGTTCTCATACATTTTTTTCCCCCACTGATCCTCTATGTTTTTTAATGGACAAAAGAGCTTAGTCTCTACTATTTCAGTTATAAACATTTGATTTAAGAAAAGTATAAATTACTAAATGCCTTCAGAATTCCTTTATATTACTTGGGCTAACATATTTATCAAAGCACGTTGTCTTAATTAATGATGTTTTTAGATAGAAAAGGGCATGTTCCTGTAATCCCTGTTTTGGTGGAGTGCTTCAGTTTAGGAACCACATGGTCATGCAATGGCAAAGGCAGGATCAAAACCAGTCTCTCCTAATTCAAACAGTCTGCTTTCTTTTGGGTGTACTTTTCCAGAACTTCTTTTGTGTGTGTGTGTGGAGTTTCTCTTTCTATTCTGCTTGCGTTTAGACCCTGGCACATGGTAACATTACTGCTTATTTCTCCTTCCTCCAAAATGGATTTTGAATATGGTTATTTATAATCTTTATGTGATCTTATTAGAGGATATTTTAGCATCACAGTTGTAGACCTTCAGTGTCATTCATTTTTATTTCATTATATAAACAGGGTAAGCTAATTTTGTGTGTGTTTGTGTGTTCCAGGTACACAATATATTCTTACAGTGAATGGTAGGATCTGGAAATACTGTGAATTGTTTGTTACAAAGATGTTTGGAAACACTCATAGGCAATGTTTGTTTTTTTTTAATGACATTATTATTCCAAGTATATTACTGGGAAGTAGTTAAATAATGAAAATTATTGTAAATATCCAAAATATCTTTTGTTTAAATAGTCCTTGAAGACTCTCCGGAATTCAGACTTGAAACCATATATTATCTTCATTGCACCCCCTTCACAAGAAAGACTTCGGGCATTATTGGCCAAGGAGGGCAAGAATCCAAAGGTAAAGTTATTATAGTGTTGTACTGTTCCATTGAAAATAAACATGAAACAGTCATGACGTAACATGTCATAGTGCTTAAAAGCTGTATCAGCTTGAGCTTTCAAACTGATTATTCTTTCTGCCCTATCACTTTTCCCAAAATTGCTGTTGTTGCCTCTGGCTGGACTGTGGCAGCTCTCCAAAGCCGGGGCCTTCTCTTGTTCCCCACACATTCCCCATAGCTACCCCAAATGTACGGTTTACCTTTGGTATTCCTTGAAACATCCTTAATCTTCTTCACATGGGTCTATGTTATTTCCAGTAGGGATTACCGTAACCCCCTGCCCTCTACTCCCAAGAAGAAAGTTCTCTGCACATTCTTAGGAATTACCCACTTTTTTCTGCAGATACTCTGCATATGTGGGGAGCCAAATCTTGCTTTTCTCTGATTGAAATTTATGTTCTGTTTGTCTTCTCCCTTTGGTCTTCTCACATGATCTGAAACGGTAAATTTTTTAAAAATTATTTTAGATGCAGGACATGGTTGAGGGTAGTTCACATTTTACTAAACATTATTAATAATAAAATTATATTAATGTGTTAATCCGAAAGCATTGACTTTATTTAAATGTGAAATGAAAACTGTCAAGTGACTTACTATATTGAAGTAACAAATACTTTTCCTTGTTTTTTGCTGATTTCTTAAATATTTTTGTTTTACAGAGGAATCATTCAGTTCTCCTCATTTCATCTGCTCTCTCTAAATCTCCTTAAAAGCCATAAGCACACATCATAACACACTTCTTTATAAGATCCTTAAAAGTCAGTAAAAGCATATCACTCCTTTCCCATGATTCTTGGCTGTACACCATAGCCACCAACCGTCTTTCTTCTTCCCCAAGATAGATCTTTTTCCATTCTCAATCTACTTAGTATTTCTTATTCAGTCTATATGTGAAGGTTGTATTTTTCAATGTCTTAGGCAATAGACAGTCAAGGATTTTCCCATCCTACATGATGAGCATAATTCTGGTTGCTTTGTTTAGGCTAAATAGGTCGGCTGGCTAAAGTAGTGTTCACAACACCCTTTCCGTGTTTGCAACACAATCATAAGTTCATAAATTAGTGGAGTCAGAGTATCTGCTGTTCTTAGCACTTGGGATGATACCAAAAAAAAAAAAGACATGGTCACTGGCTGTTCTTGAGGGGGATCACAATAAAGAAAACAAAACTATGAAACTAAGTGCCCAGTAACTACTTTGGTAGACCACAAATACCATGGTTGTTTAAGGAAAAGGATGGACTAGAGTGGACTTCTTCCTATTTGTTCAGCCTAATTTTTCTGTTTTCTAATATGCACACTTATTTTGTTATGTTTTTCTTCTCCAAGGATTCAGTATCATGCGAGGGCTATATACCATTCCAAAACAGGTTAGGCAACTTTCTTTGGGTTGGTAGTCTCAGATAGTGTTCTCATGGGATTATTTATCCTATTATTTATTTTGAATTAGCTATCCCCAATTGAGTAAGGTCTAGAAAGATACCAATCATACATATTTTTAAAGGAAGAACTTAATCAGTACCAAAATGTTTTAACACTTTACAGTATGCTTGATTTTCTAATGAGAATTCTCTAATTTTTAAAAATTAACTTCATGAAATTATTTTATATACAATAAAATGCATGCGTTTTATTCAGTGAGTTTTGGCAAAATGTATACCTGTGTCACTGCCATGCCAGTTGAGATTTAGAACATTTTCATCACTCTAGAAAATTCTCTCGTGCTTCTTTGAAGTTAATACCCCTCCATTCTTCCCTAGGCAACCACTAATTTGCTTTCTGTCACCACAGATTTATTTTGTCTGTTCTAGAAGTTCATATAAATGGAACCATAGAGTTTAAGTTTGCATCTGGCTTTTGATCAGCATATTGTTTTTGAGATTCATCAACATTGCGTCTAACAGTAGTAGTTCATACCTTCGTATTGCTGAGTGGTATACCGTGAGCTAAGTATATCACAAATATATTCATCAGTTAAAAATTATTTGGGTTTCCAATTTTGAGCTGGTGATTAAAGCAGCTCTAAACATTCATAGTCTTTTGGTGGACATCTATGTTTTCGTTTCTCTTGAATTGCTGGATCAAAGGGTAAGTGTATATTTTAACTATATAAAGCTGCCAAACTGTTTTAAATTCGTTTGATTCCATTTGTTCCCAGTTTGGTTCCATTTGTTCCACATCCTTACCAGATTTTGCTTTTGTTGGTTTGTTAAGAATTTTTGCCATTCTAGTAAGTGTGAAGTGTTATCATTAAGGTTTTCATTTGCATTTGCCTGATGACTAATGTTAGTATCTTTTCATGTAGTTATTTAGGCATATTCTTTTGTGAAATGTCTTTTTTTTTAATTGGGTTGTTTTCTTACAGAATTGTAAAAATTCTTACATATATTCTGGATATAAATATTTTCTCAAAATCTTTATCTTTTTTAATGATAATGTTTTGTGTTTTGAAGATCAGAAGTGTTTTAGAGAAGCACACTTTTTTATTTTTCTTACGGTTAATGATTTTTGTGTACTGTCTAAAAAAACTTGCCTGCCCCAAGATTATAAAGATTTTATCCCATGTTTTCTTGTAAAACCTTTCTTGTGTTAGCTTTTACTTTTAGGTCTATAATCTCTCAAACTAATCTTTTCCAGTGTGAAGTAAGGGTGGTGGTTGGTTTGGTGTTTTTGTTTTTTTAACACATATGGAGGATATTCCATTGCTCTAGCATCATTTCTTGAAAAAGACTATCCTTTTTCCCACTGAATTACATTGATACCTTTTTTAAAAATGACCTGGCCAAATATGTAGCAGGAAGCAGAGTGGGGATTATTTCTGGACTCTATTCTGTATTTATGCTAATATCACAGTCTTGATTACTGCAGCTTTATTATAAGTCTCAAAAAACAGTTGTTTGAAATACTTATACATGGTACAACATGGACAAACCTTGCAAACACTGTAAGTGAAAGAAACCAGTCACAAAATACCATATATTGTATCATTCCGTTTTATGGGATGTCCAGAACAGGCAAAACTACAGGGACCTAAAGTAGGTTGCCTAGGGCTGGGGTTGGGAGAGAATGGGGAGTGGCTTCCTATAGATATGGGGGTGTTGGCTGGGGAGAGGGAGATGAAAACACTCTAAAATTGTGGTGTTGATTGCACAGCTCTGTGACTATAGTAAAAACAGTTGAAATCATTCACTTTAAAATAGGTGAATTGTAAATGAATTCTATCTCAAGAAAGCCATTACCAAAAAAGAAAAATCCCAGCAGGTGTTTCTATAGAAAGTTAAAAGATGGTTTTTAAAATTTATATGGAAATTAAAAGGAATAACTAAAACACTTTAGAAAACGAATTAAGTCAGTGGCTCCTGGGTGACTCAGTTAAGTGTCCAACTCTTGGTTTGGCTCAGGTCATGATCTCAGGTCATGGAGTGGAGCCCCGTGTCAGGCTCCACACTCAGCAGGAGTCTGCTTGAGATTCTCTTTCTCCCTCTGCCCCTCCCCCCCC